GGTCGAGACGCATGAGTTCGGCGTACGGAACCCATGCGTCTGGTATGAAGCGAAAGAGGCCATGACTCGGCTTGCTGTAGCCTTTGACTTCATTCATGGCGGGGGAGGGACTGGTACCGTCCGGGCTATGATGGGTATACTTGGTATAGGACTGCCAGGGTCACTCATAATAGAGAGAAGCGGTATGATGATGGGTAATATATGCAATCCCCCCGAGGGCCCAGGGTCGGAGGATTGGAACGGGAAGGGCTATCGTACTAGTACTAAAGCCTCGGGGCCGGACCTATCATCACCTTTATCCTTTATTATAAACATCCGTATCTGCTACAGAAGAAATCAGGGTATTTCCTGAGAGCAACAGATTAGGGACACATACATAAAGGATTTACGTAGCATAAGCGTGGCAGTCTGGCCTGAATTCTTTAGTTACCTTACGGAGCTTTTTCCGTCTTACCTGCATAGAAACGAGGGGGCGGATCCATGTATGAAGGACTTACATAGTATAAGCGTGGCAGTCTGGCCTGAGATTCTTTAGTTGCCTTACGCAGCCTTTTCCGTCTTACCTGCATAGAAACGAGGGGGCGGATCCTAAAGGCCGTAATGATGACCGTCTCGTCCACCAAGGCTGCCCGAAGCTGAGATGCTTGGTTGTCCCATGTATAGAAACAAGGCAATGGGTAGCAGACCTACTGTAGGTCCCCACCAGGGAACGTCGGTAGTTCTCCGAATCGTCGGTGGGTGTAACCACGGGATACGATAATCTGGGCATTGTAACTCCTTGGTAGTGAAATCTTGACCCGCGTTATCACACCGCATACGTTCCATAGCAATTTGTGTCGTAGGTTCGTCAGTATCGGACACCTCGGAAGCCTATCTTAATGTCAGGGGTATGGTGCACTACTGAGTGGCAGACTGTTAGAAAAGGGGCTTTGTGGGTCTTAAGCGCCGAGAGGACCCTAGATCGCTTAATCTACATACGCTTGACGGAGTCTTAGCGGATAAGCTTAGATAAGCGATCCCCTCGAGTTTTCTTTACTTTCTTAAAAATTAATTTTATTATTAAATCTATATATAAATATATATATCTTTTTAATTCTATATTACTATATAGCTTTAAAGCTCTAATTTAAAATTAAGTTTAATAATTTTTATTCTTTTAATTCTATTTAAAGATAGCGATTTAAAATTAATATAATAATTACTATAAAAGTATTATTATAATACTTATAAAAGAAATTACTATTATTAAATATAATATTAAATTAAAATATTATTATAATATAATTAAAGATATTAGAGTATATTATAAATTTTTATAAAAAGATTTTTATATTAATTATAGATAATAATTTAAGAAAAGAATTAAGTAATAAGAATATTAATATTAATATAATTAATAGTTACTAAGAAAGTATCTCTAATAAAGAATAAGATATTAATTAAGTAAGTAATAAATAAATTTATTTATATATTAAATAATAGAAATTAATATTTTACTTATAGTCGAGATAAATTTATATAAAAATGTTATCTTTAATTTTTAAAAGTAGAGATTATATTATTTAAATAAAATTAAATATTTTTAAATTATAGTTATAATAGTAATAATAATATATTTAAATTAATAACGATTTATAAAATAAAGAGAATTTTAATTAAATTTTAATTTTAAATATAATAATATTATCTAGTAATTTCGAAAGATAATTAAGTTAGAGAAATTATTAGTTTATTATAAAAAGATAATTTAAAAATACTAAATTTTTATATAAAAGATAAATAAGATATTTTATCTAATCTTAAAAGACTTTCTTATTAAAATCTTTAATAGTAATTAAAAAAAGCTATAGACTAATTAAAAGAAAAGATTTTTAAATTATAATTATTAGTATATATAATAGAATAACGTAGAGCTAAATTAGAAAATCTTAAATTTATATATATAGCTAATTATAAATTTAATAGATTTACGCTTTTTAATTAGATGTCGTAGATAAATAAATTACGTAATTATTAAAATCTCTTTTTCTACTTTTAATCTTTTAATAACTTTATTATTTTCTATTAAAATTTAAAAAAAAATTTCAAGTTATAAATCGTAATTTACGCTTTTTAAAAATGAGAAAATCTTAAAATTTAATCTTATAGTTTTTTAAAGGTAAGAAATTTAAATATCGCTTATTAAAGATCGCTTATCGAAGATCGTTTATCAAATTTACTCGACAGCTCTAATAAAAAAAAAGGTTATAAATTTAATTTATAGGCCTTTACTCGTATATAATAAAAAGTTAATAAACTTTCTATTAAATTAAATTATAGATTTAATAAATTATAGATTTAATAAATTATAGATTTAATAAATTATAGATTTAATAAATTATAGATTTAATATTATTTAAGCGTATATAGATATTAATTAAAAGTAAAATAAAAATATATATTAATATTATCTTTAATATCTAAAGATATAAATTAATATCTATCTTAAAAATTAATTTTAAAAAATTAATTCTTTATAAAACTTTATTTTAATCTTCGTTATTAATTAGCTAATAGTTAAATTATATTAATTAAGCGAAATAAACTTATAATACTTATAATATACTTAAAGAAAATTTAAATTTAAAAGAATATAAAGTAGATAATATTTTTATCTTATAGAAAGATTAATATTAAAGAAATTAAAATTCTTTATATATAAGTAGAAACGAATTATAATTATCGCGTAGATAAATTAATTTAAACTTAAAGAATAAATAATTTAGAGATTATAAGTTTAAAGATATATTTAAGAATAATAAATCTTATTTAAATAATATAAAGTATTATAATTATAAATAAAAAGAGTATTATATCTCTATTTATATTAAATTATAAAATAGAGACTAAATAATCTTAATAAAATATTAATTATCTTAATTAATAAATATAAGCTTTATATAATCGACTCGATAAGAAAAGAAAATTTCTTATTAAAGATTTTATAAAGATAAAAATAAAGATAGAAATAATATTTATTTTGTCGTTAATTTATAAAGATAGAGTATCTTAAAATAATTAAGATAAGTTAGAGAGTTTTATAAAGATTTATTTCGATAATAATATAGAGATAAATATATAAAATTAATATTCTATAGTTAAATAGAATCTAATTAAAATTAATTATCTATAAATCTAAAAAGTTTCTTTTCATATGATTTCCGCCGGGTCCGCACCATAAGCACGATTTAGCACGATTTAGTCTATTAAACAGACTTTATCTATATCTAATCCTTTCCGCCAATTCCGCCAATTCAGCAACTTTAAAAAATTTTAGCAACTTCAAAAATTTTATATAATATACTTTAATATACTCTAAGTACTATTCTATATACATATAACATCAATATATATCATTATCAATATGCGTATCATTATATATACGCATTATTGTACGCTATATTAGAGTATTATCCACGCGACTAATTTTATTAAATCGTCTAATTTCGTAGCCAAATTTAAGTTAGCGTTAATACTTATCGCCGTAGAACCTTACCGTCGTAACGTCGATTATTAAAACTTTTCTTTTTTATACATATTACTATTAAACTAATAGAACTAGCGGAAAAGATTAGAATAGTTACTAAACCGGCGGAATTTTAACTGATTTTTAAGATAGTTGCTGAATCGGCGGAATTCTTAATTTCAGCCCTATTCGCAAGATCAGCAATTTGAAATTTAGCAGGAACTTTTCAGATTTGCAGATGATATTCTTTTATTAAAATCTATTTAAATGAATAGTAAATTAACTTATTACTATGATATTTATTTAATTATATATTATCTATAAGATAATAAAAAGCGTATTAAGCGTTATAAATATATTTTCTATATTATTAATAAGAAATATTTCTTAATAATTTTAAATCTTTTAGTTTTAATTAATAAGTAAATTAAGATAAATATAAAAGATTAAATTTAGCGTTTTAAAATTAAAAAGTAGTTACTTAAGATTTAAATATTTTAATAATTCGCGAATATTTTAAAAGAATATAAGACTTTTTATACTTTAATTATAATAAGAATAATAATTATAAATAAGAAATAAATTATTAATGTAATTAAAATATAAAGTATTTATATAAATAGCGTAGAGATTATTCTTAAACTTTCTAATAAGTTAAAGAAATATAAAAATATATTCTTATTAAATCAAAAACTGCTCGACGTCGCTACCGAAACTCAAAAAACAGCCGTCCAGTTTTACAACGATCACGGGCTTGACCTCGTCCGAAAGCTGTGTTATTATAGGTTCAAAGTCGAACAAGGTCTGGCAAAAGTGAGTCTAGAAGAGGCTCAGAACAACGCCGTTATCATCAGAGCAACAAAGGAGTATCTACGAAAGTGAACAACGCTTTCAGCCTCCTTGATTAAGGTGATTTTGAGGAAGCTTCAATTCGCTGGGTCGGCTTTGGCAAACTTCTCCTTATCAACAGCTCATACTCTATCTGAATTACAAGCCGCATTTCCCTGTTAGCTAGATACATAAAAAGTGGTGGACTGATGCATCCTTTAGGGCTTCGTGAGCTTACGCAGTCGTCCTGTGCTCTTGCGGAGCATGCACGTATACATCTAGCGGCTTTTGAAGTCAAAGAAAAAGAGCGGTTCACTGTAAAAGATCATGTTTGGTTGACTAATACAAGTTCGTACTGTGCATGGATGGATCCACCGGTCGGAGCGGCCAATTCCACCTTTCTCTGGTGTTCAACCACACAGCTTTCAAACATTGGATTCAATTTTTGGGGGCAAAGCCGGAGGAAAAGAACCAACATTCTTTATTTCGATTGCCGTGAAGACCTGCAAATCCCTCTGGCTGAAGGGAAGATTTTTTCAAATTATCCTAATATCACGTCAAGCACGACTATTATATTGTTGTAATCTATCGTTGCCCAAAGGTTACATGATAGATGCGTTTCGAAAGAACAAGGATGTGCATATGTGCATGTTTGATTACCGATCCAATGGTCTTTGCGAATCGCCGGACAGATCGAGACGCGGCCAACGCTGCCTTGGAAACATTCAGGAGGCTATTAAGTGCGGTGATTGAACTCAGGAAGAACAAAGAGTTGATCGTGGTGGTCGATCATGTGGACCAGTTGTCTGGAGAGCCTCTAGCTTCGTTGAGAACAACGCTGCAGGTGATTCATGAAATGATGGATTCTCGACTGGCCACTAAGCTTCATTATGTTCTCGTGGGTAAACCGATACGAGAGAACAAAGCTCTTAAGGGATTTGCTATCGTTGATGACAATACAGAGTATCATAATAAGCTACAGGGGAATTCATGTTGTTGGATTCCGCTGATAGGCTTCTAGAGCGCGTGAGATTCGACGATATGGATCACTTGAAAATCGACCCATGACGACGGCGGACATACGCAAAGGGCTTCGCTCTGGAAAAGGTCCTAGTCTCGGCACCCATACTCGCAGTGAGGTTGAAGTTTCTATTAGGAGCCGACAGATCCCAGGTCAACCGCAGCGAACAACTCGATATAGGAGAGAAAGAGGCTGACCAGAAGGACGCGCTTTGACGAGTACCTACAGCAGGCTCACTTCTCAGCCAATTTAACGTATCTCAAGATTTGCAGAGTGTGCAGACTGATCAAACCGCGAGTATACTCGCAAGAGCCGAGTATCAGGCGCGTGAGCGTGACCAAATATTCCCAGATCGACAAAGGGCACTCGCTCGGCGCAAGCGATATCCTGATACAGTAATCATCGACAGCGAGCATGTGACCATTGTCAAAGATCTTCGAGTTGGGGACTGGGGTCTGAGGGGACTGTTGGTCGAAGTCGACGGAAGCTCCCTTTGGGACTTGATAGTCAACTTATCAAAGTTTAATAGCCAAAGGGGGCCCGGAAATGACGTCTGAGGAGACTAGCACTCTTCTCGAAACGATGATCGAGGATGCACGTCGTCTTTGCATAAGAAGTCCGATTCTCTTTACGATGTCCGCGAGAGTACGCATCATCAATTCCGAGAACACTCGTTATGGACTCAACCATGGACCAATTTCAAAACCCTGACCACCAGCAAGGGTATCAAAGAGATTATCTCGCTCAGCGCAGCATCTTACGCTTCTCTGGATCCTACCGGTAGCGACGATTCGACCCAGAAACACATCGGACCGCGTTCCCGCAAATGGTTGTGTTACTCCTGTCGCTCTGGAACAATGAAGATCTTGCGGAGATCAAGGATTTCTTGGAAGCGACGTATAAGCTCAAAACTGACCGACCCGACATTGAGTTGTTGATCTTGAAGGTCTTCCTTTGTTGTCGATCAACCCGCGGGTATTCTTGAGCGCGTTCGTGCCCGCCATCGATGGATTTCCACTAGAAAGTGGCAACACTAACATAGATGAAGACCACAGCAATATCTGGAATATGTTCATGAGGAGAGATCCCGAAGATGGCTATCTCCTTCCCGGGACAGTCGACGATCTCGGCCGGAAATGCCTCTCATGTACTGTCAAGTGGCCAGACGAGGGCTTCAGATCCACATCAATCTTCAACACTCTGCAATACGCAGGACGTCTAGGAACGATCAACGACATCCCTCCCGTCGAGGTTCACCCTAGATCGGATTGCACTGAATTGACTGTTGTCATGGCCGACGACAGCAGATATGTCATTAGTCCCCGAGACCTCGATAACATCATTTATATGTCACCAGGGAGATATCCAGTGCAAGAGACCGTGGGGGGGAATGGTGTATGATTTAATTATTCAAGAGACGCTGCTCAATGGCGAACTGTATCAAGCAATCAAAATCACGAAAAAGATCGTCCACAGGGTAAAAAAATGGCTAGCTAATCCGAGACGAGGTGGCAATGTGGTGAGCAAACTAGCCCAGAGAACGTCGGACTATCAGCCATTCCTAAACGATGTCAGAGGCACGGGGAGACTCGTGAAGGTACTCGCAATCTTAAACCAGGCGACTTTGGCCATCACATGTAAGATGGAGGGGGTGCAAGGTCAGTCGGATAGATGCCGTTCAAAACACGGCCAGAGACATCCGACATTTGCGCGCCTTCATCAGCCATATTGAGCAGCGTGGAGACAAGACGCATCATTTCAGTCCGGAGAAGCGCGAATTGAAGCAAAATCTGGACCAAGTGATAGCCCAGATAAGTCAGGCTGAGTAGAGTCGAACGAGGATCGGCTTGGACCAAGAACTCTCCAATGAGCCGGTAGCGAAGTGTCTGCATCCCGAAGGGTTGAAGGTCAACAACGGTGGTGTCTGGAATGGTTATGAAGCACGGTGTGAGGAGCACAATGGAATTCTACGCGTCGAAGCCATAAAGTCAACCATCGGTGGCGTAAAAAGGCTGACGAGGGAAGTCATCGAGCTTTCCCTCCATCAGTAGCGGTCCAAGCTGTTTGTTACGCCTCTGAAAGCGATCCCGGAAGGTCATTGGGATGATAAGGTCCAATGACATTGCGGTAGACAGTGTGTCGCCATCGGGGAGTGGCACGAGGACAGCTCTGGACCAAACGCGGCTTTCAGCATGATCAATTATTTGAGAATAGTGAGTGTGGAGGAACAGAATCAGAGCCGGTGTGGGAGGAATCGAATACTGGAACGGAACCCCATGCTAAGGTTGTATGCCGCTTCAAGTGAAAGAGGTTCTTTATCGCAAGAAACAAATTGTCCGGGTAGCATAAGAGATTGGAGTCGTGTAGTCTCTGATGTGACGAGAACATCATGCAGGTTGCGTAATTCAACTCGACTCGCGCGAACAAAGGCCTAAATCAGCTTGTGGGCATCAAGAAATATGGGAAAACACAGGTCTTCCTGTGTTCGAGCTAATAAAGATGACCCAAGCGAGGCCGGTAAGTGATCCAAGGGACAAGATCTATGGACCGCTGTCACTCGTAAAGAATAATAATTCGCTCCTGCATCTTCCAACCTATGATATTGACGCGCGTACATTATATCGTGACTTCGTAGTACATGCGATCATTGAGAGTCAGGAACTACGATTATTAGAGGTATGCGAAATGAATGAGTCTTCGCTACTTGGCTAACTCATCCTGGGTTCCGACCTGGTCGGCCAAAGGATTTTTTATCGACTCACTCACCTCGGACAGAGACCCTTTTTGTGGAGCAGGTCCGCTAATCGAGCGAGCGCGACTCAGAGTACAAGGCGATACTCTCCTAGCCCTAGGTGTAGTTGTCGATGGAATCGAAGCTGTTGGCACACAAATAGAATTTTGCGCACAAGAAACAGGACAGTCGTACGACGATTTCGAGTGGACTCAAATGGGGTTGATCCATACCGAGTTTCGGAAGATGATCGATAAGAGTACAGCATACGGCTCTTCAGAGGACGTAAAATAAGAAGTGAGATCACATACAGTCGTCGGCGGACGAGACACGGACTACCGTCGAGCTGAGCAAGATACTATCAGTATAGTGCCAACACACGAGTGGTTACAGAGCCATTGGGGAACCGTGTCCGTTGAGCCAAGCAACCCAAGATGCGAGCATATCATAGAGGCTCAGAAACGGATAGTGCAGACAGCTGATGGTCGGCGACTCTGCTTGTCGAGCAAAGGGAGAATTGGATGGGTGCCCAAGAAAGGGAGGGAGGGGGATCTGATTGCTGTGGCGGCAGGCTCACAAATTCCAATTGTACTACGTTCCCGACGGGATGAAGAGTATGAGGTCGTTGGGGAATGCTATATCCATGGTATCATGAGTAGCGAGGGATTGGACGACGGGCGGGGAAAGATGGAGATGGTGGTCTTACGTTTGGTTGAAAGGTGACCGTTTCGAGAACCTTACCAGCAACGGAGGAGCTGTGATTCCAGCAGGATTGACTACCTTTTGTTTAATGGACAACAGCTCGGCTATATACCGCTGTGTATTCTATCTACACATCAAAGGCTTGATACTCAAATTGAGCTTTCGAACATTGGGGAGTTAGATGAAGGATGAGCTTGCTTACCCGGGCTTAGGTGCTAACTCACACCCAGCTCCGGGAGTTGCAAAACTATGGCGGAACTTTGAAGTCGAATAGTTATTCAACCATTCAAACGTACGCTCATCATCCCGGCTAGGGAGTTGTATAGTTATTCAATAAGAGTAGTTATATAACAAAACGTTGTCATTGAAGCTTTCGTTGTTGAGTTATAAAAGTTGGTAGACAATACTCGTGGATTCCAGAAGTGAGTTACTTGATAGAGCGAGGACACCAATAGATCAAGCGACATGCCGCTAAGTGGAAATATCGATTGGTGTCCTCGCTCTATCAAAGGACTCACTTCTGGAATCCACGAGTAAGGTATGTTATGCGATTTACGTGGGAGTACAGAGGTCTGCACCGAAAGTCCTGCACATGCGCTAGTGCAGCCCTAACCCTACTTTCGGAAAGCGGCCCCCTATAGGGGAAGCCTAAAAATATCTTCTCACAGCGCATGGATGGGACTTTAGGTACTTCTTTTGCTTGATAGGGGCATTAAGCCCCGAAACCTGGCTAGGGCTAGGTGCGATTCCGAAGAACTCCAGCATTGTCCAGGTAGCCCTTTAGGTGGGGCGTTATCCGAAGTCTGAGCGCAAGAGTCTTGGCGGGTGCAGGACTTTCGGTGCAGACCTCTGTAAGTGCAGTTTATTTTCGAACCCCCGAGACCCAGCTCGCAGCTGGAAAGTGGCGGCCCGGGGCGGGCCCCGGCTACCTTAATAAGCTGGGGGGCAGATTTCTGTCTGCTTCAGTGCTTACAGTGCCAAGAGAACGCGGGTGAGCTGGAATCGCCATCAAGCTAAGAGAGCTCCCTCTTCTCCAAATCATCGCCGGCGCAATGGACCTTTACCACCAGGCCATCGATTTAGCCAGCAACCCCAAGCATACAAGATGGCTTTCGCCCCTCCTTCTCCTTGCGGACGCCGTTTTCTGCGCCCTCATCATCTGGAAAATACCTTGTGAGCTTTGGTCCCCGAGCTCCTGCGCCAACGAGAGAGGAAGCTTTTTGGCCCAGCCCGTAAAGGATGGAGCTGACGCCCAACATAGACACTGAAATTGACTGGAGAGCCTACATCCAGCAGGTTGAACAGTATCGAAATGGAGAGCGCGACTACACCCTCATTAAAGGCGACACAGGTTGGACACGGAAATGTGCCTCCTATTCCTCTTCTTGGGTGCTAAATCTGGATGCCAGGTCCTTTGGTTTACCCAGCAGCGCATCTATTCATATACAACGCTCTATACCTCATTACGGACAAAGGAGCTGATATTTTTATCGCTCAATGTACATTTGCTGTTGTGTATCTTGGCGCCGTGAGCATGGCTATGGCTTGCTACCGTATGGCTAAGGTATGAGGATTTCGGGCTACGACAGAAAAGCTAGCGACAAACTTCTGGGCCTGTGCTGACCAGTGCAGGCACCGCCATACATATTTCCCCTCCTCATCCTCTCGAAAAGACTCCACAGCCTATTTCTCCTGCGACTCTTCAACGATTGCTTTGCTATTCTGGCGCTCTTCACCGCTATATACTTCTACCAACGAAGAATCTGGACCGTCGGAAGCGTTGTCTATTCGTTCGGCGTCGGTATTAAGATGAGCGTTTTGCTGGCTGCTCCCGCAGTTGGACTCATATTGTTGCAGGCGCTGCCTTTCAACAGGGCAATGAATGCTGTGTTTCTCATGGCACAGATACAGGTAAGTCTTTTTCTTACAATCGCGAATGCCGCGAAACAAGGCTGACGCCGTACAACAGATCACCCTTGCCTTTCCGTTTCTACCAGCCAACGCGAAAGGCTATCTCGCTCGGTCATTCGAGCTCACTCGACAGTTCTTGTTCAAATGGACCGTCAATTGGAGATTTGTCGGGGAAGAAAGATTCTTGTCCAGGGAATTTGCTATAACCCTAATTGCTGTCCATCTTGCATTGCTCTCAACTTTCGTTCTGACTCGTTGGACTCGACCGTCTGGCCTTTCAATACCAGCTTTGATATCCACCGCAATCAAGCCTCTTCCGCCGAAAGCCCAGCAATTGATGTCCATCAATGTGTCACCATCCTTCATTATGACATCCATTCTGAACTCTATGGCTATCGGCATGCTGTGCGCACGGTCTCTTCACTACCAATTCTATGCTTATATCGCCTGGTCAACACCGTTTCTGCTCTGGAAAGCTGGCTTGCATCCAATCTTCATATACGCAGTCTGGGGGGCTCAAGAGTGGGGGTGGAACGTGTATCCGAGTACCGACGCAAGCTCGATCATGGTAGTAGGGTGTTTGGTTGTTCAGGTGTTGTCTGTATGGTGGGGCACAAGGGATGACCTTGCTGATGTTGCATCTCCCGCGGATATTGCGGGCGAAGAGAAGGAACATGATGAGTGATGGATGCTGGAATGCAAAGCAATGGGATCATTCTCCGCAATCCGACTCCTCAGCTGGTGGCATTTTGCCTGCGGTCGATTCATCCTCCTCGCTGTCGTCGAGATAGGTGGGTTTCTTGACAAATTCTGGAGGCCTCCACTGACGCATTAGCAGTGCACATTGCTCGAACTCGAGGACACCAACCAATATGCCTGCTTCCGCCATTGCTTCTCGTCTCTCACCACGTTGACAATCTCTCCACCAAGCTTGTTCTCTCTGTCATCAAAGGCGGAGCTGTCAACCACGACATACCCGCCACGTTTGATCCATATCTGTGAACGGAAAGCGAGACGGTAGCTCGGCCAACAGTGGCTCTTTTCCCGAAGGCAGCTCCACTGAGTACAAGTTGTTGCCCTCTGCCTTCTTGACCAAAGCGATCATATGACCCTGGTCCAAGACCGCTGGTGGAGAGGATGTCTCCGCTGCCGTCGCTAGCAGTTTGCGTTTCGGTCGACCCATTACAGAGATTCGCTTTGTGGTCTCTCTTATGTTATTTCAATGAGGGGAGTGAAGGCTTCGAGCTACCAAGCCGGCCGTGTGGGTAAGGCTGATTTTTGGCTTTCAAGCCGAATAAAGGCCGGCACTTGACGGAAAAGGGAAATGCTATCTTTTCCCACAAAAGGTATTGAGCAGGTTACCCATCTATCATCCCAATGGATGGGCTTACCTCCTTGGCTGATGAAAAGTTTCTTGGGTATTGGAAAATACGTTAACTCTCTCATCATGATATATACCCTTTTGCATGCCAAGATATAAAGTCTTTCAACAGAATATATATAATTCCTTTTTTGAGAAAGCGTCTCGAATACAAGACTGAACCCTCGACACAGGTCAATTATGGTATCACAAAGAGGATTCGGAACCCTTATTGATATCGACTCACGTATTACCGACCCTCCGGCCGCTCTCAAAAAGGATTCTCATGCTCTTCCTGACTTGCCAACCGCGTACGAACTGGACGAGCTGAACAGGACCCCTCGTGATAATGGTCCTCCGCTACCACTTACACCTTCGGGTGGTCAGACTCCAAGAAGTCTCCATGAATTGGAGATGTCCCGCCCACCTACACCGGAATATCACGATGCCGCCGAAGTCGTGCAAACGTGGACGAACCCGCCAATCAACAAGTGGCGACTCTTGAGTGCTTGTCTGATGAATTTCGGCAACGGTCTGAACGACGCAGCCCCTGGCGCTCTCATTCCCTACATGGAAAAGGACTACAAGATCGGCTATGCGATTGTCTCGCTCATTTTCGTCACGAACGCCGTTGGCTTCATCGCAGCTGCTCCTGTCAACCAACTCCTGCAGGCTCGTTTGGGCCGGGCCAAGACCCTTGTTCTAGCCGAGTCCATCATGGCCGCAGCCTACATCATGCTGGTCTGCAGGCCTCCCTTTCCCGTCGTCGTCGTCTCTTTCCTGTTCCTGGGCCTAGGCATAGCCACAAATCTGGCTCCGAACAACGTCTTCTCAGCCAACCTCGCCAACGCGACGACCGCGCTGGGCTGCTTGCATGGGTCCTACGGCATCGGTGCAACAATCGGTCCACTGATGGCGACGGCGTTGGTCACTCACAACCATCCCTGGTCCACCTTCTACTTCATCTCCCTATCCATCACCATCTTCAACCTCCTCCTCGCCTTCTTCTCCTTCCGCAACTACGAAAAGGACACCCCGCCCCTCAACCCCCTGCGCCCCACCCCCTCGAACCCCCACCCCGCGCCCCCCTCCCGCTCCACCCTCCTCAAAGCCGCCCTCACGCACAAAACCACCGTCCTGGGCGCCCTCTTCATCTTCTGCTACCAGGGCGCCGAGGTCAGCATCTCGGGCTGGGTCATCTCCTTCCTCATCTCCTACCGGCACTCCTCCCCCGCCCGCGTCGGCTACGTCACCGCCGGCTTCTGGGCCGGCGTCACCCTCGGCCGCTTCCTGCTCTCGCACCCCGCCCACCGCGTCGGCGAGAAGCGCGCCGTCGTCGCCCTGGTCCTCGGCGCCGCCGCCTTCCAGCTGCTCGTCTGGCTCGTGCCCAACGCCGTCGGCGACGCCGTCGCCGTGTCCGTCGTCGGCCTCCTGCTCGGGCCCGTCTACCCCGCCGCCACGGCCGTGTTCGCGTCGTTGATCCCGAAGCGGCTGCAGATGAGCGGGTTGGCGGCCGTGTCGGCGCTGGGCAGTTCCGGCGGCGCGGTGGCGCCGTTGGTGACGGGGGTTTTGGCCCAGGAGGTCGGGACGTGGGTCTTGCATCCGATTTGTATCGGGTTGTTCGCGGGGATGCTGGGGTGTTGGGTGGGATTGCCGAGGATTGTAAAGAGGGAGTGAGGGGGGTGGGCTGGGGTTGGGAAGGGTCTGGGAAAGGTGAATGAAGGAAGGGAGGGCATTTGGGTCCCTAGGTGGTTTGAATTTGCGGTGGATTGATATGATGGGAATTGGACATATGGGAAGTTTGAACTACTTTTACGTGGAAATACTAGGCGTTGTGTCATCGCATGGACGATTGCCCCGTTTTCTTCATTGGAAATGAAAAGCTGCACATCAGGCAAGCCAACATACAAGTGGCGGCCTTAGGACCAGCTTGCTGTGAATCTTGTGAGGTTCCGCAGACCAGTGCCCCTCTGCAGGTTGATCAAAAAATTCTCTTGGTGTAGGTCGACTGCATCTTTAGGTTCTGTTACAGCGTGTTAGCCAGTATTTTACTCTTGGGGAACAATAGATCAGGTAGCTCACATCTGCCCAGTGCCTTGCAGGTCCAGCAGTAATCATTCAAGGGCTCAAGCGGGCAAGCCGCCGTGCGGTATTAGCCATTTCATAGTATGTTTATGACACGAGATCGTAGGACGATTTTTATTCATTCACATGCCTCCCCACTCAATGCAAAACGTCCTTACTCTGGCCCCGTCATCCGTGCCCCTTTTCGCCGCCCCCCTGAATCTTTGCCTCCTTCACCCTCCTCCCCCTTTTGCTCAACCCCGCCAACCAGCCATCCCTTCTTCACCCCGGTCCCCAGCCTGCCGCCGCCGACCAGATCCAGGAGATCGATCTCCTCGTCCCAGTCGGCGCTCATGGTCAGGAAGTGGCTGTGGAAGCGTAGCGGGTCGCCGGGATAGACGGAGAATTGGCAGCCGAAGCGTATGCCGGGAGAGAGGAAGTAGCCTAGGCTGTGTAGGTGCTTGAAGAGGGCGTATGAGGACGGATTGACTTTTGGGAGGCCTGGTGAGTCGATGTTGGCAGGTGGAGAAAGGAGCGGATAGGATGTCGTTGGTGTGACCGTCCAAGGCTTGCATTCGGGTCCAGCAGCTTGGCATGGTTCTGGAGACGGCGTTACAGTGGTCTCTCGCGTGAGCGATTCGCCGAACAGAGTTTCTTCCGAGGTGTCCTCTGCCTCTTCTAGGGCTGGGCTGGGGATTGATCGCTGTCCCACAGTCGAGCCGCTTTTGGCCTGTATCCTCTTCAGAGCCTTCTGTGTCCGGCTCTTCTTATTGCTCTCGAAATCTTTCGCTACCCTTGCCCCTTGTTCTCTGAGATCCGCCTTGATCGCTTCTTTCTGCTCGACAACCTTCGATGCTAGGTCCTGCATATGCCAATCCAAATCGTTCACGATATATGCCAAGCTTCTCTCCACAAGTAACCTTGCTTCTTCAGGCTGAAGTTCCAAGGGCAGCCCAAGGAAGACATTTTGTTGTGGGATCTGAGGCAGTGTACCGATAAGGACTCCGAGGATATTGTGGTTCTTGCGGAGCCAGGTGATGATGTTTATGTCATAGAGGAGGTAGTGCTCTACTTTCTGCGAGACCTGGAACACGGGGAACGGGAGGCTGGGCGCGGTTGGCGCGGTCATTGCTCCGTCAAGGAGGGAGCACCGCAGGCTCTAACAATCGTTCGGCTGATTTCAAATGTCAGCGATGTATTTCTGACGAAAATGAATGTAGGCAGATCCAAAGCTGTGGGATAAGTCATAAGGCTCAACGAGCGTACTTTTACATCAAACGACTATGCGTCAGTGGATTGACAGATTGTATATATTCTTAATCATGTAAACTCGCGGCAAGAGAATAAGAGCGGCTTGGCTTACCAGGAAGATGTTGCTTCACAGTCATGATCGAAGGTTTCTCTCATTGAGTGTGCTCTTGCGAAGTCTGTACCACCCCAACCAGAGCAATCCTCACAAGCCAAGGCGGTGCCAAGGCGCCAGTCCGGATGGGGACTCCTCGGATCAAGATGCTCGCAAGCGGAGACTCTCCCCACTCTCTCCTTATCTTTCGCACTCCTTCCCTTTCCCACCCTATTCCCAGTGGGGTTGACCGTGGAGACTCTCGGCCAGTCAGGATATCGAATGAGAGAGAGACTCTCACTTATCAGGAAATGGCAATGGCCTCCAATGGCCTCAATGGTCTCATGCAAGCATGCAGCTTGTTCCTTTTCTGGGAAAGGGAAAAGGGTCTCTGCCGCCGCAATCCTGCCACATGCTTTGAGTTGGAATGACGACTGCCTCCCTTGATTAATGCAGGCACCTTAAATAGAGCCACCTTCTCATATCTTTCTACACTCCACTTACTGTGCTGGGACATGTCACCACGGAACAAGTGCCCATGGCCTCCACAGCTACCGCACTTCGTACCCCTGCGCGTCGAACAACGATTGCCAAGAAGAAGTTTGCAGTCCCACCTGTGAAGGTCGCATGCCTTGCCTGGTACAAAGTCTAGAATGTTAGCCTCCAAGCGTTTTGGACCTAACGTTTTGACAGCCGCGCCTCGCGAACACGTTGTGACGGGAAGAAAGTATGCACGAATGTCGGTATCCTCCCATTCTCTGTGGCCATAGATCTTCCAACATCTAAATGACGCAAATTTTAGTGCTCCACGAGGGGCAGAGAATGCCAGTACACCAAAAGCAAGAGAGGCGGGCCTCGAGCCCCTCGGTCCAAAGTATCGCAAAAGCAACCTCAGGTCGAAGATCATGACATGACATTTAATTGGAATGACGAAGACTGTACGTCATGTATTTTTCATCGCAATTTGTGCTCTTACTCATTGATCATAGTCGTGTTCGATGAAGCACCGTCATTCATCAGTCCTGGAGCGGGGCTCAGCCAGCTGGACTTCTCCCAGGACAGCGATTTCATCTATGACAGCCTCTTCACTAGCTCGGTTCAATTTGACGGTCAGTCGAGTGGCAGCAGTCCGCAATCAAGACCAGACTCTCTTCCGGAGCGAGCCAGTCCTATTGTTAGGGTCTACGGCAGTGATGAAGATCTGTAAGCCCCTCAACTGTCCATCTGTCTGCTGTTCCAGGCGCGTTGCATTCAGCCGTTAATTGACTCGCGACAGTCTAAATGCTTATTACGTTTTCATCCATCCATACTTTCCTGTTTTGCCGCCTCCAGTATCAAGCCCAGTGGTAGATCGCCCATCGTCTAGGCCTAGGGACGAACACAGGAAGGGTCACAGAAGCAATGTCAGGAGTGATTTCGAACCGTCATCTCCTATCACTCTTGCAATTTCAACAATCCTGGCTTTGGTCCCGCATCATGATGATGAAGATCCTGCCAATCCCGAGTCTGTGCTTTATCGAAGGAAATTTGCCCAGTCTTTTGCGGAATCGACCATGGAGAGTGTCGAGATCGAGTCCGAAATATTGGACTCCGATTCCTCACCGTCTCGTGCACTGACCGGGAGCTCGCCTACCGCTCGACGGGGGTCTTTTCATCCAAATGTGCCTGTTGAGATAGAAAGCGTCATTGCACTGCTCATCTTGAGTATTTACGAATACGCCCAGCGGGGAAACATCAGCAAGATGCGTACTCGAGCCGGACAAGCATTGATCTCAGCCATGGACATGTCTCTTCATTCGCAGGGCGACAACGAGGGTGAATTCGCGGAAGCAAAACGTAGAGCTTGGTGGATGTGTGTAAGTCATGATGGCAAACGGTGATCCACAGAGCTATGCTGATTGCGCTTCGCACTTGTTAGTACACCTGTGCATGCCAGGGTTCTATCGTCAGCAGTACCGTAAGACATCACGAGAGCTGGTCCGGTCCCTTCCCCACTAACTCGTTTTTGCGGACCACAGCCCCCAACAATTTCAGTTCACGACCCTCGGTTCACAACAAGGTATCCAAGTATCAGGTCCGACCCCGATGTAAGTAACATAGATCCAGGTATTCTGGCATCTTCAGCTGACTCTTGATATCCAGGCATGGCCATTCTTCTTGTCCGCGCAACAAACCATCCTTGCCGCCACTCAGTTCATTCTTGACCAAAACAAGGCTTTAGAGACGAAATCCAATATGTCATACGTGTATGAGAAGATGCACGAGCTCAATAGTAGATTGGACCCGTTACTCGCTAGAGCCGATGCATGGACCACTTACTCATCTGCTATGCCGGTGGACGCGTCCGAGGCCGTTGTTGCATTGGCTCTAAAAAGTATTGCACGTATTAAGTTGAATAGGTAATATGAAAAATAGCCACAGCGTCTCATCTACTGACTGTTGCGCAGTGCAAAAATCAAGCTTCACCGCTATTGCGCCTTTACAGATAAAGCGCTTTTTTCCGAGAAGCATTGCGACCTTAAATCCTCGGGTCAATATTTGAATCCCCCAGGTGGAGAGCACAACACAATGACACCTGCACCTGCGTGTGGCTGCGGCGACTTGTTCGATAACTCATCTTTCTCATCGATCTCGCGTTCGCCGTCTTCCCCATTATCTTCCCGATCATCTTCAATGAGTTCTCTCGGCTCCATTCCGTCGATCTCGGATGTTCCAGAGTTGAATCTTCCATTCAGCAGCCATCTCGCAGCCAGATACTGCCTAAAGGCTGCACTCAACATAGCTCAATCATTCGAGGCTCTCCCTTACCCGAACCTAACGGGGAATCAGGAGTCTCTGGTTTCGTCCTCTTCGAGCCACAGCGGCAAAGCTCCCCGTACTATGCCGTCATTTGCCTGCTGTGCAATGCAGAGTAGTTATGCAATGCTTATGATCTGTCACAAAATCCGAGCCACAAATGGCGAAGGTTTCATATATCAGCGGAACGAACATCTTGTCAGCAATTTAACCAGTCAGCTCCGAAATGGATTGCAGAAAGTTGTCGGAGCTTTGGACAACTATTCGATGACTTTTGAAGCATTGACCGGAATGCGAGGTTAGTACTATTCACATCATTCAATAGAGTCCAGTCTGCTCTGCATCGAAGTCGCTGATTAACGATTTGGCCAGATCAAGTACGGGCGGCAACTGATGCCGCATTGCCCAGCGTATCATGAAAGTGTTAATATTTCATATTCTATGAAACATTGGTATGATTTTCTTGCCCCACTTATGAAAATTATACTACTACCGTATCTGTTATACTTCCTCGAGGTTGTGCTCGCGTCCATGACACCTTGTCCTGAAAGCCCACATTATCATTGGTACTATCACTGCAATTGAGCGATATGCTACTGTACATTGCGCATTGCAGCCTCCCATGAGTTTGGCCTTTTTTGCTTGATGTTTTAGGTCTTTCCAAAGATACATTCCTTTGGTATCTGTACTTCTACACTAGACCCATCTTCAAAAGCCGCGAAAAGCTTCGTAGTTCCTAAGCTCCATTCGCCAATAAAAACCCTGGAGGCTTGCATCACCACTCTGATTCGACCTCACCGAAGACGCTATCTTTGACTGCAGCCGAACCCGTCCCATTGCTTTCGAGTAGTGGTGGATCTTTGTACACCCAGGAACACTGCTGCTTGAGTCGCTCGGAGATGAGACCGTCTAAAGCTTCGAATTCCAGAAGGAACCCGTCGTGGCCATCCTCGGATCGAATTATTGAGAGAGTCGCATCAGGTAGATACTTGGCCAGCTTGACTTGTTGTTCGGGCTCGAAGAGGTTGTCTGTGTCAACGCTGACGACTAAAGCTTTTGCCGGCACGGCTTTGAGGACCTCAGTGAAAGCTTCTTCTACTTCGTCTGTTTCTTCTCCCCTCACAATTCTGTCGCGCGTAAGGTCGTGCGTATCCATCTTGTTTGTCAAGTTGATGTAGCAGTTGGCATCGAAGCGGCGGATAAATTTGTCTCCTTGATATTTCAGGTAGCCCTGAGCCGAGAAGACCGGAGAGCGAGTGCGGTGTGTACGGGTCTGAGTCCTGTTGCTTGCCTCAATCTGAGCGCGCTTTCTCGACCTAAAGGCGTCACACTTCGGGTTTTGAGAATTACTATTCACACCGTTGCCGCAATGCCCATCAGCCAGATCTTCTTTGGATTTTTGCAGTCCCTTTCTCTTGGCCGGTGATTTTCTTCCAAAGCGTTTGTCGAAGGATACGCCGGAACGGTATGTGAGCAACGCTACCATTCTGGCTGCCGCCAATCCCTTCGTGGGCTGACTACCCATATCATAGTATCCATCCTGGTAGTTTGAATCTGCATAGATACATTGCTTTTGGGCTTCAGCCCAAGAGATGCCCCATGCACTATGGTCTGCTGACGTCGCGATTGGTATAATCGTGTTGACATACCCAACAGGCGTGCACAACGGCCATTCAAGAGCTGACATCCCTCCCATCGAGCCTCCTACCACGGCTGCTACTGACTGGACCCCCATGGCATCAAGTACGAGTTTGTGCGCTCTTGTGATCATGTTAGTTGTCACTCGTCAAGTAACGAGCTGGCATCTGGTGGCCTACCGAACATCATCTCTAATAGAAGTCTCCGGAAACTCTGGCCCGTACGGTCTTCCAGTACTTGGGTTGATTGTGAGCGGAGAAGCTGAACCATACGGCGATCCCAGAAGGTTTCCACAAAAGACCAAATATCGCGTGTAGTCGAAGGCTTTTCCCGGCCCCAACAACGGGCCCCACCAATCTTCTAGATCACTACTTCCGGAGAGCGCATGGCATACGACGAGAACATTGTCGCGCTTCTCGTTGAGGACCCCCCAGGTTTTGTATGCAACTTCACACTTTTCGAGGACATGTCCGGAATCCAGATCTAGGGATGAGATCAATGCGAACACTTGGTCCGATATCAGGTCTACATAGGGGTTTCGCTTCTCGGGAATGTGGTCAAGTTCTGCATAGAACCATCAGAAGGGCAATTTCTGATCAAAGGCGCAGGGGTTCTCACGAGCTGTCATTTCTCAAACGGCAAAGTGACATAGATGGGATAGTGAAGCGTCTTGAACTACGTCGACTATTTTCTCCCACATACCAGGTTTCAGCAATATAGTTCTCTCAAGTATAGCTTGCATAATCCTTCAGCACGACATATTGCACAAGGTGAGTTAAAATCATTGTTCTTGCTATCAGTTCGGGATCTCTCCAAGCTACCCCGGGATTTGTTGATCGGCAAATGATCTTCGGAAGGGGACATTACCCCCACCGACTTTGACGTTCAGGGAACTTCCCCACGATAACACAGGAGCGAACATTATTAGCATATGCTATAGCTAGTGCTAATTGCCGTCAACCAAGTTCCCGATCTCCACATCTACAAGTCACTAAGATACTTTAATCTCCGAGTCCAGGACTGGCATTGGACCTCTTGGAACACCATACTGAGCCTCCACCATTCGCAAACGATCAGATGTCGCGCACCCAAGAGACTGTCAAGGTTGCAGCCGGGCAGGCTGCCCCAGCAGCTTTTGATCTGCCTTAGAGTATGACCAAATCGGCCCACTTCACTGCCGAAGCCGCGAAAGCAGGGCTGATCTGGTGGTGTCCCCGTAAGAGTCTAGATCTCTTTTCCCTTACCCGGTGCTGAGCTTATCTGCCGTTACTGACTCTGCATGTAACCCCAGGAAAGGCTTTCTTTCGGCGCTATGCCTTCGATGCAACCGTCGGCACACGAGAGCCTCGTGGTGAGTAACCCTGTATCTAGGCTCTTTTGGGGAAAACCAACAAGTGGCGCATCTAACATTCGGCATACTCAGGTCGACAGTGGTTTGCCAAAATACTATGATGCCGCTGTCGCCATCCCGTCTCCAGTGTTCGAAACCCTTGCCCGCACGGCTCGGGAAAATCATGTCTTTCTCTCACTCGGCATCGTCGAGAAGGAGGGAGGCACGCCCTATTACACGGCTTTTCTCTTATATAGAGATGGGATGCTCCCTGTACAAGTATAGAAAGGTTCGGGCGCCGGTTTGATTCATTTACTGTTGAGATTCAGACAGTCACAGTTGATACCAACGGCGGCTGAACGCCTAATCTGGGGCCGCGGCTCCGGCGACGGACTCATCGTCGCTGATAGTGCGATTGGCAAGGTTGGTGGATTAATCTGCTGGGAGAATTACATGCCCGCTGCTAGGCTAGCGCTGTATCACAAAGGCATTGAGTACGTGTGAATCGCAACTCATCTCTCCCACCTGACAGTCCACCAATCAAGTTACTCAGAAACTCCGTCGCCCCCAACGCCGACGACCTGCCCTCCTATATCGCAACAATGCAGCGCATCGCGAAAGAATGCCGCTGGTCCGTCATCAACTCAAATCAATTCTGCAAAGTAAGCTTCTTGCCTACCTCAACCCCTCACACTCTTCACCAACACTCCCAACCCATCAAGTCTCCCTCTTCCCCTCAGACTATCCACCCTTCGCCGCCCCCAATCCCAGCGACCGCAAACCAGACGGCACGGCTTGGACCGCGAATGACGTGCTAAGCCACGGCGGTTCCTGCGTCATTGGACCGCTGGGAACGTTTCTCGCTGAGCCAGTGTGGGGTAATGAGGAGATTGTGTATGCGGAGTTGAGGATGGGTGAGCTGACGGAGGCGAAGATGGAGTATGTATTTGCTGACTCCATACTGTTGTATCTTTCTTTGCGACCAAGTACTCCACTCTTGAGACATGTCTCGGGGATCTTCACTTCGAAAAACCTCCCAAGGCTCGATAACCCGCCTCAAAGACGCAATGCTAACGGCAGGATTGTAGTTTCAGTTTTGATCCGGTGGGGAGTTATTTGAGACCTGGTGTCTTGTATGTTCCTGTGGAGGTCTTATACTAGTGGAGTGTGTGTCTGATCGTCGAGGGCAGTCAGTTGGAACTGAATAACAGTACTGGAACGAGTGTGACGTTTGACGGCTCGTGAGGGTAGGAAGAAGGGCTTTCTCGGTACCGGGTTTGCATCGTGAGGAATGGGGACTTCGATATGGAAGGCGCTATTTATTAGCAAGCTTGGGAGTAGCTGTCATGTGTGACTCCATACTAGAAGGGAGCTTTCCCGTGAATGGCTCCTTCCCTGTTGTCCCCCAATCTAGCTCATGGCGTATCTAGGAGAAAGTATCCTTTTCAGACCCATCAATTGTGTGCTTCATCACACAGAGTCCTAACTTGGAGACGAGTATGTCCCTTCGTGGGGATAGGAGCATGTGAACAGTGCTGAGGACGAGTATTGGTCGGGGTCATTATCATCGAGTAGACAGATGGACGTGTAGCGATGAATGATGCTCTCAATGGTAAACGACAAGTAGGTTCCCTCGGCATAGTATATAACTCCTCCCTACCCAAAGAGAAAAGAAAAGAAAAGACGGCAGCACTTTCAAGCACTGGTAGCCATAGTCATCTTGGACTCAGCCTGGGTGGCATCCACGGCATCCGTAGGTGCAGCCTCACGCCTCTTATCCGTCCCATCCGCCTCCTCTTTCTTCTCGATCCCATTCGCATCTCCCTTCTCCTCCGCCCCCTTCCCCCCATTCCTCTCGGCCCAACCTTCCGACCCGTCCGTCCCGGGCTTCGGGGCACTCGTGGCCCACTTGCCCATGAAGCCAGACTTGACGAGACCGGAAGCGGTCTGGAAAGGATCGACGCCTTTCTCGGCCGGTTGCAGCCCGGCGGCGACAAAGGCTTGCTGGAAGTCGAAGATGATGTCCTTGATGTCTTCCAGGCCGAGACTGACACGGATCAGATCGGGCGTGACGCCGCCTTTGATCTTCTCTTCGTCGGGAAGTTGCTGGTGCGTGGTGACCCACGGGTGGATGATGAGGGTCTTTGCGTCGCCGACGTTGGCGAGATGGCTGCAGAGTTTCAGGTTGTTGACGACGGCCCTCACTTCATCGATATTCCCCGCCTGGCCAACCGTCAGCATCACGGTAGATAACGCATCCAAGCGTATCGACAAAGAGCGCGGGTACGTACCACGCCAAAGGTAAGCACGCCGCCAGGGCCGTTCGGCATCGTCGTCCGCGCTCGCTCGTAATCCTTGTGGGACTTCAAGCCCGGGTAGAGCACCCAGCTGACGCACGGATGCGCCTCGAGCCACTCGGCGAAAGCCTGCGAGTTCTCCACGTGGCGTTGGCCCCGGAGCGGCAGGGTCTCCAAGCCTTGGAGGAAGAGCCAGGCGTTGAAAGGGCTCATGCACGGGCCCAGGTCGCGCATGGAGTCCATGCGCAGCTTGGCGGCGAGGGCTTTGTTCCCGTACGTCTCCCAGAACCGCATGCCGTGGTAGCCGTCGGCGGGCTCCGTGAATTCGGGGAATTTGCCGCTGGCGCTCCAGTCGAAGTGGCCTCCGTCGATGACGATACCGCCCATGCTCGTGCCGTGGCCGCCGATCCATTTGGTGCAGCTGTGGGTGACGATGTCGGCACCGAGTGAAATGGGACGGGAGATGTAGCCGCCCATGCCAAAGGTGTTGTCGATGATCAGAGGGATGCCGGCGTCGTGGGCGACCTTTGCGATGGCCGCGACGTCAGGGATGTTGTGCTTTGGATTGCTGATGGTCTCAATATAGACGGCTCGGGTGTTTTCATCAATCGTGTTTTTGATATCGGTGGGGTCATCGCCTTGGACGAACTTGACGGCGATCTTGAACTTTTTCATGTAGACTCTGAATTGGTTGTACGTGCCGCCGTAGAGCCAGCTGGTGCTGACAAAGTTGTGGCCCGGCTGACAGCAATTGGTGATGGCCATGAACTGGCAAGGATCGATCAGTACGGTTACCAAAAAGGCTGAGAAAGGGTGAGACTTACCTGAGCAGCATGTCCTGAAGCGGTCGCTACGGCCCCGACACCCCCTTCGAGCATGGCCATTCTGGTCTCGAAAATGGTGTTTGTTGGATTGCCCATGCGCGTGTAGACGTAGCCATCCTTGGACCAGGCGAATTTGCCCGCACCGTCGGCGGCATCTTCGAAATTGTAGGCGCAGGTTTGATAAATAGGAGCAGCTCTTGCACCGTTAATAGGATCTGGCTCTTGACCGCCGTGCAACGCGATGGTGTTCCATCCTGGGTTCTCAACGTTCTTTAGCGATCCCGAAACCATTGTGAAGATTGCGTTGTCGTAAAAAAGTCAAACAGCGAGAGTAGTGGACTATAAGGTGAATGCGGGGGAAGCTGTAGCGGCAGCAGCGCCATTATATCAGAGAGGTCGGATGCATATGCATCCATTACGCCGATCTGCAGATTGACGATGTCTCCTACCGTTTCTGTCATGTTGCGTACATTTTTCAATGAGAAGTTTGAAGTTGAAAAGTCCAAATCCCGAGACTTTGCTTCAATCCCCGAACATCACGTGACCGGCTTCTGGTCTGGACTGGGATCGGCCCCACCCAACTACTGTTGGCCTAGCTTTATCGAGGTGGAAATGTGTATCAGTGGGGGCACGAACATCAAGATATCGCAAGAGAACATGGTCTGAATTGGAGAGCTAACTTCCGGAATAGTCGCCGTGTTTGCGGGATCACCCCGTAGATTGTTTGACGTTTCCTTCGGTATTTGGCCCCCGCATCCGAGGTCCTCTCCGATATCAACATAGGAACACTACTGTCCCTTAATCAGTGTTAGATGTGTCCAGGCTGTTGGACTCGGATGATCAGGGTCCCCGTTGTGAAGTGTGGGGAGAGTCATCGGTCACAGAAGCCGGCCGTTGGTCCTGAAAGCCTCGCCATCGGCTAGCGTTCTGTACATAGAAGTGATCGGCTTTGGTGTTAGTGCAGTCCATCTTGCGCAAGAACGCAGGTTATGAGTGGAATGAGCGCATAATAATTCCTCTTTTCAGTGCTGGTATCCTCGAGTTTTTTTTTGTGCATTCATCGCAACTCCGATTTCCTCGGACATTTCACCTGTGGCCGGTCTCACTCCATGCTCTCACCAATGAGGAAAACGAACAGTACGTGGGTGGTGCAGAAGTATGGGGGAACAAGTCTGGGCAAGCTCCTAGATACGATAACCGGAGAAATCATTCCCAGCTCCCTTGAGCATGATAGAGTGGCAATAGTCTGTTCCGCACGATCTGGCACAACCAAGTCCACTGGCACGACCAAGCTACTGCTTGAAGCCATCTCTCATGCCACAGACCCCAGCCTTGGGTCGGGCGAGCGACTTGACAATGCTGTTAGCATTATTCGAGATCAGCACCTGGAAGCTGTGAACTCAGTTGTTGGCGATGGGTCCAGATATGCCGGTGGTAAGCCAGCCCAAGAACTGGAATTGAGTATAATCGACGAGTGTGAACGGCCTTCGCACTTTCCTCCATGCTGCGCAAACGGTTGGGGAGCTGTCCCCACGTTCGCAGGACCGTGTACTTGCACTCGGAGAGAAATTGGCGTGTCTCATAACCGCATCGTCGTTGGAACACAGAGGCTTTGGTGCAAAGGTTGTACTGCTGGAGGACATTGTCGAGCAAGCGTACCCAAGTGGTCCAAATGGGCCAGAAGCAGCGTATGAGGAGCTTGGACCTCACTTCTATGATCGAATTTCGATAAAGATAGGGGCAAAAGATACAAGAATGCGGTGATAGGATCCCCATAGTCACTGGTGGGCACAACCAATGTGCTCGGATTCCTAGAATGTCCATCCTTTTAACAACCCCGCAGGATTCTTTGGGGCAATGCCACATTCCCTTCTTCACAGCGTTGGCCGGGGCTATTCAGACTTCTGCGCAGCGATGTGTGCTGTGGGCATCGGCGCTCGTGAAGTCCAGATATGGAAGGAGGTCGATGGGATCTTTACCGCGGATCCTAACAAAGTGCTGTCGGCTAGGCTGCTCGCGACAGTGACTTGCGAAGAAGCAGCAGAGCTGACCTATTTTGGGAGCGAAGTACGTGGTCCTGACCTGCTTTCTTCTCCAGTCCTTCCGGCCACCTCGAACTGTGTAGATCTTACCGGATTCGCGCTGTGATCTGCGATAATAATTTTAGATCTTCCGATACAGGTTATTCATCCCTTGACAATGGAACACATCCAGAAGGCCAAGATTCCTCTGCGATTGAAGAACGTCAAGGATCCTTCTGGCGCTGGAACCATCATATTCCCTTCCAATTACCTTGCCTCACCTGATTCCGCAGAACTCAACGAGATTCCAAGTGCAGCTCGGTCAGGCATATCAACGACCACATCTTCCTTCCTCCTTGCCAACGGTTATCATGGCGATATGCAGCAGCGACGAAGGCCAACCGCAGTGACGGTCAAAGACTCCATTCTCATCATCAACGTGCTCTGCCACCGAAACAACAAGTCTCATGGGTTTCTCGCCGAGGTCTTTAGGCGACTAGATCAGCACAAAGTAGTAGTTGATCTGATCACAACCACAGAAAAATCGATAAGTTTAGCAGTTTCAGCAGCAACGGAAGGGGCAAAGGGAGATCAAAGAATGTCGACTTCCGAGATTGAGAAGCTTGGGACTGTGTCTGTCACGAGAGGAATGTCGATCATCTCAGTCGTGGGTCACAAGATGCGTAACACGGTGGGAATAGCTGGGGAAATATTTTCAACGCTCGCTGGGGCAAAAATCAACATTTACCTCATCAGCCAAGGAGCAAGCGAGATCAACATCTCCTTCGTTGTCAAAGAAAGTGACGCGTTGCTTGCCATGAACGTGGTTCATACAAAGGTTCTGCAAATTCCAGCTCATTCGGAGCAGGAGAACAGCTTCTCTAAAGGACCGTGGCTTTATTGAGTGGACGTCCAAAGCTACGAATACCGCAGTAGGTCTTCTGTCATGGCGTTTCGAGAGTTGATTACCCGCTAAGCGACGAGCCAAATGGTATTGAAGAAGGGTTGGGGTAAACAGAGGAGAATCGTAGCGCTGTGAAGTCGGCGCCTTGTCAGAGAATAGACCAAATGTCATGACTAGAGCGCTCACAGTACGGTTCGAAGATAGAGATCCTATGACGCTGTAGTGAAGATCGATAAAACATTAACGGGAACTGACCGTTAGGTTGTAATCATGCTACGATTGTCATCGTCCAACTCTTCCTCGCCCAACTCATTATCGACGAATTTAAGAGCTTCTAATTTGTTTCTTGTCCACCAGACTTCTCGGTGATCGGGGCCAAGGACACTCTGTTGTTTTGCATGCACCATTTCAAGTAATTTCTTTGCCTCATAGTACCGTCCAAGCCGCGCGTATGTCAAAGCGATGCTAGCTTGAATGAACAAGGTATGGCTTAAATTTGACCCTTTTGATTTCTTAAAGGCTTCGCATGCTAGCTGGAAAGACTCCAGTGCCTTATCGTAGTTGCCCAGGTTGTAATACGCAAAGCTCCTTTCTCGAAGAAGGCGGGGGGAAATGCCATCGTCATTGCTGTAAGAGTCGCGGCATAGTTTCAGGGTTGCCTGTAGACTTTTCTCCACGTGCGCCGCTCTGTCATGATTGCCCATCTTCAGATAGGCATTGTGTCTCAAGTTGTGGAGTTGTAGATTATCAATGTGATTCAATTCTGGTACGAATTCCTTTTGCATGAAAATTTTGTCGCTCAGCCTTAACACCTCTGTATATTGGGAATTCCAGTCATTTATGAGCATCATCATTTTCAGAGTTTTGAGTGTACCATAGTGCCTACTACCAAGAAGGATCTCTTGGCCGGAAAATGCTCTTTCATAGGACCTCAAGGCTTCCATATCTAAAGATAGTGCCCGATAACAGTCGCCCATGTAACTGTGGATCCTGAACTTTAGTGGTACATCTAGATGATCCATCTTTCTGGAAGCGGCAGTGTAGACTTCGAGAGCCTCTTGGTACTTCTCAAGTCTTTTGTAGAATTCGCCAATAGCCAGAAGCGCAAACACATGAATACCCGAGGCATTCCTCAAGATCAATTGAAAGAGGACCTTGAGAGGATCGATCAGAACACGTGTCCTGCGGAGAGAGGTTGACAGTCTTAGACATAGTTCAATTTGATGGCCGATAGGCAACGAATTTCGGTCTTTCAGGAGATCCAAGGCTCGAGACAAGGTAGCAGAGCAACCATTCGAGCTTGGGCTCGAATAGGGAGAAATAGTCTCAACATTAGGGCCAGCTGTGCCAGACTCGAGAACTGAATCTGTAGCTTCATTGTTTTGCTGCTGGCCAAAACTTCCAGATTGTCCGCCTGTAGGTTGGTTGAGATGAAATTGCAAACTTTCTGTGAGTGGATCATCATGCTTTCCCGCTCTTCGCATTTGGCCAATCCGTTCCTTCAAAGTTTCTTCGAAGATGGCAAATAATCTTTTGTCCAGGCCTGCATCCGCCATCCGGTCACCCCAAACCATGAGCTCGTCCATTTGTGACTCAAGAGTAGCATCTTCGAACAGAAGGTGGGCGAAGCGTTGAACCCAGAGTATACTTTGTGTTGACTCTAACACAGTTTCTATCTTAGCTAGACTGATGGAACAAGGTGGCCACGATCGGTTCAAATGAAAACAAGCATACAACGTGGCGTACGCAAGAAGAGGATAGCTATCCCAGAGAGCTTGCGTAGACTGACACGTTTCGGGCTCCCAATTTCTTCTCTCCTCTTGCTCCAACCTCATGTAGTCGAGACAAAGCCAGGCGAAAGAACGGTGTGTCTGGGTAATGTCGATTCTAAAGCCTAGCACAGCCCTGTCAGGTTCGCAGACCCATTGATCCTCAGGACGGATCAAAAAGTCTCTGACAGAGGAGTGAATAAGGCGCAAGACACCGTCTGTCATGGAGACCAGGCCTCCAGTAACATCAAGCACCCTTTGAGGTGGCTGTAGAAGTAAGTACTCCTCGAGAGGTTGCGCCACTGTTTCTAACGACCGGCAATGCATAGCATGAGCATATCGAAGTTCCTCGAAACGCAGGGGGCGGCACGATGCACATGTGAAGGCCAGGACATTATGTGCTAGACGTAGCTCAAATTTGTCGAGTTTTTGAAAAAGGTGGAGAAAAAGGAGTTGGTATGCTTTCTCCACCAGTCCACGGGGCAAATTCTGCAGTCTCTCGCTGAACTCGGATTTTGACGATGACTTCCTGAGGTCATCGACCATAAGCCGAACCCACAGAAACATGCCATCAGACTTGTCCGTAAGGGTTTTGTAGACGTTCGTCCGGAATTCCGGAAGTGAAAGAATGTCTGACTTGGCGATTTCATTGTTAATGAAGGCCTCGATATCTTGATTCAGCATCGCAGAAGTAATTTCAATCGCCGCAAAAGCAGGATTGTCTGAATGTGTCTGAATGACGTGTGGCCGACCCAGCAAAAGTATACGTAAGTTTGGGCATACTTCCATGATTTGCATAATTTTGACGGACATGGTGTGATTGTAATCAGTGCATTCGTCAATCCCGTCAACAACGCAGTATACCGGCTTCGCCAGTGATGAAGCTATTTGTCCGAAGGCCTCCCATAGTTCCGGAATGGTAGGCTGGCCGTCCAATCTTAGGTGGTGTATAGTATTCATATTTTCTTTGTTGGTAGTCTCTTGCAGCAACTGCCATAGGAGTGTTCTAATGAGACTTTCGGAAGTTTGTCGGCTTCCGTCTGAGCTAGAAAAAGCGAAAAATAGGGTGTGCTGTTCGCTTTCTTCCAGTCGAGCCACTATTGAGGAGGCCAATACTGATTTGCCGCAGCCATGAGTGCCAGAGATGACGAGGAGTCGATCCTGGCTTGTCAAGCATCCTGGCTTAATCCATCTCCCAAACACATCGTTTGATGTGATCCAGTCGCAGGTGCCATCTAATCTAGCCCGGACTTGATGCAGGTGAACATGTTTGACATCCGAAGGTTTCAACCACCTTTCACATTGTATCTCTAACTCTTCGTGCTGTCTTCGGCCGGCTTCTTTGCGGAACTTCGCTGCTTCTAGAAGCTCCGTGGCAACAGCAGTCTGGTCAGCGACCCTAGCATGGCGTTCAAGTCGAGCTATGACGGCTCCAATATCTCGATCAAAAGAGCGTACTACAGTCTGGGCTAATCTCACTAAAGGACCCGTAAGCAGAGAACACCATATTCTGAGCCACCACTGAGACATACCTAATGTCCCCCGCCGAAAGAATTGGAAGGCCCGCACAGAAAAATCCACCACGTCGGTAAAGATGTTCAGGAGTGCAATTTGCAGTATATTGTCCGACTGCAACTTTTCATAAACCTCGAGTCGGGGAAGGCTCTCTGTAATCGATTGTAGTAGATTGAAAACCTGCTCGGTAGCTTTTGAATGATCGTCCGAGATCTAATCAAAGCAATGTTCAGACCTCATTCAATGCAGTCCAACGCTGTAGAGGCATATTAACCTTCAATATGAACTTGATCGGCGCCCATAGCGGACATCCAAACCCAGCCTGTGTTTGTACCGCAATGTCCACCACAGCACTCATATTCTGCAACCATGTTGTATATTTCTGCAGCTTCGATAAAAATCTGGTCGATTTCTTCTTCTTCTGAGATTGGCATTTCTGCTCAACTGTACTCAAGACTTCCAGCAACGTTTCTTTCCCTTCGACACACTGCCGAAAGACTGCATCGCCATGAGGTAAATGTGAATATGCCAATCTTGCTTCTTCTATGGCCCGTTGTTGAAGCACTGACCTGTATAAATGATTGCATTAGTCAATGCCCGGTGTAGTGGATTCAGAGGACTGACCGCTGAGGATCTTCATCTTGCGCGGGACTTTCCATGGCACGGTATTGAGCAACTGTAAGCCGGTAGAGTGAATGTCCCAACCAGTAGCCGGTCGACACTCCATACATAAGATTGCAGCCCAGGGCAAGCCCGCACTCAACTTATAAGGCTGACTCGTAATCTCGTACCAAAGTCACTTTGTCGGCGCAGTCACCTAGGTTCACCCAATGACAGAGCGGCACCAGGAGTTTATTAGGCAAGCTAGGCTGATTGACTGATTGATTAAGTCATATTGGTCACTTTACGGGAGCTACCCTGCGGGCTTCACATGGCGTCAAAGGTCCAGCCAGTCTTGGACCCATAGTCTGTTACTACAGGTAATATATACTCGTACGCAGCGGATGAACGTACTTGTAAGGCCGAGCGTAGAAAGAGAATATAGATAGATATACTTTGGTCTATAAATTCGGATTTACTTTAATAAGGACCTGGGGAACTTCATGGTCTACTCAAAGTAAGCAGTTGAGACTTCTAACAATCATTACGACCCTCAAGATCTTACCCACAATGATGGGCATGACTATGGACGCGACCAGGTCACATCCAATACGTCCCAACACCTCGTTCCTCGATCTTCCCTGCGAGATCTGAGGCTCAATATATCATGTAGCGCTACACAGATCAAAAAGCATACGACCAGTTGGAAACATCTCATAATTCTGCGAAGATCACGGTTACTTCCGGCGAGAAGAGACCTGTACCTCCTAGGCAAGGCTCCCCCTAACAAAATCAATGGTCAAGTTTTCAAACTCCTGGACTCCCTCTCCAGCTATTGCGAATTAACAAACACGTTAACGAAGAAGCAACCGAGACCTTGTATGGCGGTCATCGTTTCATGTTCGTCATCGGCCCCACAGCTCGCGTCCGTCAAACTTACATTCATCCTAAGGTTTCAGTCCACGTTTGCACCGAGAAAGCTTGTCGGGCACACTATGATTGCTACTGTTTTTCGCATGACAGAAGCTATGTCACATACGAGGACAATCTCTCGGATCTACCGTCCCGTTATCTGACGTTGATCAAGTGAAGCGATGTTCATGTCCAGGTGTCGGCCGCTTGGATTAAAGAGGAAGCTCAGGGCATCCAGACAAGCTTGGAAAAATTTGCAACTTGCTTCGGCGGCTCAAAGCATTCCCTACAGGGTGTAATGATCCATCTGAATCAGTCTCAAGAAGGCGCCATTCCTCATCAAGCAGATGCTCAACTTCTAACCCTGTCAAGCGTTATGGACGGGTCATATGGAAGATGAGATACGGAGGAAAGAGATGTAGGGCCTGTTCCATTTGACAAATCGTGCAAGCCTCGTTCTGTTGGCGGTGATCTTTCCGGACTGAACCCGAATATCCCGAATATCCACGCGGGATCATCCAACCATAGGGCTTCGGCTGTCCCTAGGTCGCATCCAGAATCTAGTAGAACACGCACCGCTGATCTTGCTTACAGAACGCTTCTTCAAATGGCTGGGTAAAGTAAAGCGTGATTCCTCTATGCCCGGTAGTCTCCCATGGAAATAGCAGATAGCTACCTACATGCATCCGCCACCAAGCATTCAGGTAAGTAAGCACACCTGGTGACACGGTGGCGCTCCAAGAGAAGATACCTAGGTACAGCGTCAGGCCTGCCTTCCAGTCCCAAAATCAGCAGGCTTCCTGATACAGGTCGAATCCCTTCGCTGGCCGTGGGTATAACAGTCCACCGACTGAACCAAAGCGGGGAATATTTGGATTGAGTGATTGTCAACACGATGTTACATCATGCTTCGAAGGTGCACGCATCAAGTACCGAGAAGAGAACGCAGGAGCCGGCAATCATATCTGGAAGATGGGTCGTGTTAGGTGCAGTTGAGGCATCGTTTGGATCCAGAGACCGAACATCTCCTGCGAGATCCGACCTACCCATGTAGGCTGACCACTCATTCTGTCAAGACTTCAGCGGTGATCAACAGCTTGAAAGGGTGTGTGAGATTTGACCGGCGAGGTCGCTGTAGCTTGTATGTACTGCGAGCGTTGTAGTGGCAGTCATAGACGAGCCTCAGCCAGCCATCGGCTTAAAGTTCTTGCCATTATGCGGATGAGGTAAGCCTATAGATCATTCGGGAAGGACTCAGATCCCGTGCCTCACGAGCATTCTGGAGCTTGACCATTTGATCCGCAAGCTTTGGTATGATTGGGAAGATAATCCCTGCTTAAGAGCCTCCGCAGCACTACGTCAAATGAAAGGGAGAGTCGTTCGAAAACGAAATATTTTCATTTCTGTCATCTATGCTGTCTTCTCGACTGCCACATCACCGCATAGCCTGAGCGCAACAGCAGCTGGCACCATCCACAGTCTGACCTCCGGTATGGTGGAGGGACGTCTCGGTCGCTCCTCTACTGCTTGGAACCCCAAGCACCCTTCTTCTTCAACATCTCTTCCTCCTCTTGTTGAATCTCCGCATCGATCTTGGCACCCTTGGAAGGCTCGTTGCCGTGGTTCTTCGCCTGATCGATACACAGACATTAGCAAGTCATGCCTTCTCTCCGAGATGAACGCTCGGGGAACGCAACGGACAACTTACGGGCAAAGTAGGATCTTTCTTGTACTCAGCAGCCTCCTTGGAGATCTCCTCTGGCTCATTTTGACGCTTCGGGACGGTCAGCCATCTCTGACACTCTGAGACCTTGAGCAAATTACCTTTCCCTCTCGAGCTAGCTTGTTGGCAATCGATCTCTCATCCTCTGCAATCAATTGGTTAGGTCTCATGTCTGGCAATGCTTAAATGTGGCTACGCACTGGAGTCATTTGCCTTGTGGCTGTTTGGCTGTCCTTCATGGTACCTGTCCGCGACGTTGGTCTCCGAGTCTTTCGAGTTGCGCTGGTCCCCAGCTTCGTAGACACCACGACCACCAACGCTTGATGTTCCACTCATGATTGCGGATGGAGGTTATCGTGTTTGTTTGGGTGAAGTGTTTGATGATTTGGTACAGATGTGTGTTTAGAGTGACAATCACAGGAGTTGGTTTTCGTGCTGATGCCGTGACGTAATTTAGCTCAGTTACCGACCCGCGCCTAATAAAAAATTGCCGCACAGTGCCACAGAATTCGAAACTTGGTGCACAAATTCTAACTCGTGAAATTTGATTGGTCCCGCATTCCCGCACATTCTAAGCTCCGCGAAAGAAGTTCTGGACAAAAACAAATTCCGGGACCAAAAAATTTCCTCTACAAATAGCAAGGTGGTACTTTCATCTGAGAAAAATACAATTATAGAAAGACATCAATCATCTCACTGCACATAAAATAAGGTTATTGTCTGGTCTCTCAAAATCGATTTCTCGCAAGGGTCTTTTTCTTCGACTTTAATGCAGTATGGCTTCCAACAATGAGTATCAAACTCCATTCAACTCGCGATACTGTACCGGTACGTAGGTACCGAGAATGATCTTTCCTATTTGGTACTGAAGTGGGTCGCAAGATATGTTTCGGGAGCAAAATGAGCATTTCTAACTCCCGGGACCTGTTTTGCAAGCATCATATCAATCTACCATAGAAAAGCAACGCTGACCCCCAATCGTGCCAGAGGAGATGAAGCAGCTCTTCTCCCCTCGGAACCGCTTCTCAACATGGAGACGACTCTGGGTTCGTCTGACTCCACCTTTTCAGCCCGTCTCAGGATGCTTGCTTCCTCAAAACTAATCACAAGATAGCTTTGGCTAGCGGAAGCAGAGAAAGAGCTTGGGCTAGCAGGCATTTCAGATCAGGCCTTGGCCGAAATGCAATCTCATATAATTATCAGAGACGAAGAATTCGCGCTGATAGAGGTGGAAGAGAAAAGGAGGCGACACGACGTAGGATGCCTCGAATAACATATCTATTCATCTAACGGATCTGTAGGTGATGGCCCACGTTCATGGCTTCGGCTTGGCCGCGCCCAGTGCTGCAGGCATCATTCATCTGGGAGCCACATCTTGGTCCGCCTTGCATTCTATGAACATTGAACGGATCCTAACCAAAGACAGCTACGTAACAGACAACGCCGATCTCATTTTCCTGAGAGATGGACTCGACCTTCTCTTACCAAAGCTTGCCACAGTAATAAAGAAGCTGTCAGACTTCGCCCGCAAATATCGAGACCAAGCATGCCTTGGATACACCCACGGCCAGCCGGCAGCATTGACCACCGTGGTATGTATATTTTCCGAACAAAACCCTCCTATTCCGGACCATTATTGGAGTTGCGAGACACGATCCAGGAGCACGATGCTTTTGCCTCCTGTTCCGAACCATTATTTGATTTCAAAGACATGGTTCAGGAGTAAAAGACGCTTGATACCCCTTCCCCCTGTGTCAATGTTCGGGCTTTTGCCTTGAAGAAGTAATGCTGACGCCGAAATCATTATAGGGAAAGAGAACATGTCTCTGGATTCAAGATCTTTTAATGGATTTAAGGAACATTGAGCGTTCTAGATTAGATCTTCGCTTCCGAGGCGTCAAAGGGTAAATTTCGCGGCGCAATCAGCTCCCCAAGTTCGCTAATGCGTCTCCAGGGCTACTGGCACGCAAGGCACTTTCCTTTCTCTGTTCAGAGGAGACCATTCTAAAGTAGAGGAGCTCGACGAGCTTGTTACGAAGAAGGCGGGTTTCGAATCAGTCTTCACCATCAGCTCTCAGACGTACTCTCGCAAGATCGATCTCGACGTCTGCAACTCTCTTGGCTCGTTCGGCGCGACAGTGAGCAATTTGTCCAGTCCATACCGCTTTCTGATCCCTGTCTTGTGTTGCAACCACTGACCCAGAAAACCACCAGTGCGAGCGCATTTTCACAGACATCCGCCATTCCGCAATGATGAAAGAAATCGAAGAACCGTTCGAAACAGATCAAATCGGAAGTTCCGCAATGGCGTTCAAAAGAAATCCCATGCGCTCCGAGCGAGGATGCGCGCTCGGACGGAAGCTGCAGAACCTGCCAATGGACGCTATGGCTACGTATGCTCATCAGTGGTTCGAACGAACGCTAGGTAAGTGACCAGTCGATTATCCCATCCGCTGGTAGGGTGTACATTTCAGGTGTATGACTCATTAAGTTTCGGTGTACATTTCAGGGGTCCATTCCTACTCTTTGGCATAGAGCGCAGGACTGAATCCCTGGATTGCACACCCTGCCAGGGGATAGGATAAGGGCTTTCGGAATCTGACAAGGTCTACTACAGATGATAGTGCAATCCGAAGAATTAGCATTCCGGAATCATTCCTTTGCGCTGATGCGTTAATGCTACTTTTGGACAATGTATGTAATGTAGTAGCACGCATACCTAAGAGCGACATATGCTAACCATTGTAGGTAATGTCCGGTCTTGTCGTGTACCCAGCCGTCATCGACAGGCGAATAGCCCAAGAACTTCCCTTCATGGCTACGTGCGTCCAGTTTCCCCAACCCGCACCCCAGAATTCTCAGCACTGACCCCTTCCGCAGCGAAAACATCATCATGGCCCTCTCCGAAGTCGGCGTCTCCCGGCAAGAAGCCCACGAAGAAATCCGCGTCCTCTCCCACCAAGCTGCCGCGGCCGTCAAAATGGAAGGCAAGGACAACGACCTACTCGACCGTATCCGAAAACAAGAGTTCTTCAAGCCGATCATTGGACAGCTGGATCAATTGCTTGAACCCAAGAGTTTCTATGGTAGGGCACCGCAGCAAGTGGATAAATTCACAGGGCCTGGTGGTGAAGTTGAGAGCGCGTTGGCGAAGTACGAGGATGTGATTCGGAAAGGGGGAAGGGTGGATTTGAATGTTTAGGCATGTGGTATCTGTCTCTCTTCAGAGAACTGTATTAAGGGTTCAGAACCCCGAATGGTGTTCCAATAAAAGGACTTGAACTCTATGAGGTAAGAGCAAGCTCATAAGCCTGGGATACGTTGACGGACGGCCAGGGCACTTGCTTGCCAGAAGAGAGCTTGGCAGATGACATGAATGATAAAAGATGTGAGAAGAGAGTAGCGAGCTACATGTCTACTACAATATTGCTATAACGAGAAGTTGGGAGATCTTCGCTCGCGGTCAGAAATGTTTTCGCTCATGTATTTTCGCACATGGGATAGCGGTCGGTAAGGATATTCTTCCATGGTGAGTACTCTGTTCGTCTCTGGTCTCTCGCATCTAAAGCCGTGATTCACAAGAGCTGTAGCCACCATCAAGCCACCTTCGACCATTGAGATTGAGTGACGCGTTTCCCATTGGAGATTCCGCTGGCGTGAGTCGACATGGCTAATATAGAAGTTCGATTTATGTCAGTTTGTGGAGCCCACTTCTCTTCCACCGACACTCCATACTTTGTGGAGCCCACTTCTCTTCCACCAATATTCCATACTTTGTGAATCTCACTTCTTTTTCACCGACAGACACTCCATACTTTGTGTAGCCCACTCCTCTCCCATCGACACTCCCAGCTTTGTGAAACCCACTTCTCTTCCACCAACACGCCAAAATTTGCCAAAACCCAAACACAACGGCCATTCAACAACAAAAATCCGAGAAAGCCGAGAGAACGATGCTATAACATGGAACGAACGTCAAGTCGAACGTTTCGTGCAGGAAGAAGTGGACATTTCAGACATCAATTCAGCCGGAACCGCGTACGGTCCAGATGAAGCGGCGCTGGACGATGACATCGAACATGAGGAAGAGGACGAATTTGAAATACAAGAGGGCGAATATGAATCAGAAGAGGAAGCTGTTTCGACCATCAAAGACAACCTTAGTATTCGAACGATCATTGACTGCACAATCTCGGTAGGAAAACCTCGTCCGACTTTCTGGCGTCAGAAATCACATCGACTGACGAGATTCTTTAGTGTGGATTTAGCACTGAGGCCCGCCCTATATATTAAAGAACATAGTGCCAAACTTGTGGGTAAGAGAATAAGAGATGCCTAAATCTCGGGTAGTAAAGTTGCTGATGTGAGGTCTAAATCAATGGGGACTAAACGGTCCATCCTACTTTAGCTCGCAATATAGCTCTAGCCAGGCACCCAGAGTATGCTATGGATCAGGTTCGTTGAAGTCTTGTCAGGTTCAAGGGCTTCTCAGAGGAGCCTTTGTCTCTGGAGGCGGCGAGAATCATCAGGTGTACTAGAACGGGGGCCGATGGGTGTCTTGAGCGGCAGCTGCGTCTCGATGATCGCTGTTGGCGGTGCAGCGCATTTACCAAGAAATGAGGCGAGCTAAAGAAAGGGGGAATATTCCCCGTGAACGTATCTCGATTGATTGAATGTGCCTGATATAACTGTTCTGAGGCCCCATAGATTGGGACCAAATACTGCTGCGATCATCTCACGAGTGCTACGTAATGGACGCGCAAGACTTAGGATTTTTTTTTGAAAAGCTTCTACCGCCGCCAAGAAGCGCGAAAGGCCCGAGACAAGAAGAATGCAAATCCAAAGACGGGCTCCTATATCGATGAGCCAGCAGATATGCTGAACTTTTTCATGTTCCACGACTTGGAAACGATAGAGCCTTTCATGGACGACTTCCTAGGCTCAATTCTGGACGATCTCAGGCTGGATCAAGGCCGTGTTTCTCGCAGATAGCTACTCCAATTCTATGGTTCCAGGGGGCTTCGAGGTTGCTGCAAGCCAGATTAGTGCTGGTCGTCCCTGTGTTTTGGATTTTTGAGAATGAATTATAACTCGCCATCGTAGAAAACCCTGGACACACCCCTCACTTCGTTGCATATTGTCGTTGCCTTAACAGTTTCGGAGTCAGTATCTCTCTTTTAATGAAGATAAGTGAGCTCCGACACACGTCTGAGGAGCAAGAACTCCCAAGACATGTCTCACGACTCAAAATTAGGTCAGGATAGGAAAGATTCCAACAGAAAACAGAACGTACCACGTCCCTTACAAAATCCATTGGAAAGCAGTACGCCTCTGCCGTCATGAAGTCTTTGGAAACAACAGCCCGCAGAACTATGCATTGCTCATATGATCTACGCAGATTTCGGATTCAGTACAGCATTTCGGTGGAGCAACCGGAGTTGCAAGACTTACCTCTGGTCACCTACAACTCCAACCGCTCTTACTCCACCCAGAATCGCGGCAAAAGCCTGGGAAATGCTGGTGTACAAGCCTGCGTTTTCAATGGCGTCGAGGAAAATCTTGTCGGCCTGCCTAACGATCCGTAACTGGCTTTCTGTGACTTCCCCAATAACCCTGAATAAAGGTTAAAAGGGTTTATTTCGTGGTCTTCTTGCTCTGGACAAACCTAACGCCAAGTCCAGGGCCCTGAATGAATCAGGAGTCAGTAGTTCTCCTTTAAGATGGTTTTAGATTCAGAGCACATGTCTTAGGATGCAGAAAAGATCTCCGGCTCCCAAAACATGATTAAAAGGGGAGTATTTGATATAAGAAATGTCTTACTGGAAATGGATGCCGCCAGACAAGATTTTCTGGTATACCGAGTTTCATCCCCAACTCTCGTACTGGTTCGGACTTTAGCCTGACTGCCACCGAAGCAAGGCGAGAGATTGTTACCCTCATCCTTGAAGCACTCTCTTAAAGGCTCGATAAGTTTGAGACCCATTACCGCAGGTAAACCTTTCAAGGTCAGTTGAGGTCCCCCAGTAACCTCAAACGACTCTCTTACCGCCCACATTATGGTGTGTTTTTATGGTTTGAGACGGGCCTAGATAGTTATTAGCAGGTCGCAGGTATCCCAAACTGAGGTGCTTGGGTTATTCGAAAGCGCGTGCCAGCCCAAAGAACCGTATCATTAACAGCTTATGAGAGCTTATCACCTCGAAATGCTATGCTTTCAATTACGTCAGGATACAGAGTTCCTTGTAGCAGCCATTCGATGTCGCCGGCTTTGGACGAGTTTTTGGCTTCTTCTTCCATCTTCTTAGCCGTTTCCTGGAAGACTTCGATGAAACTAAATGATTTCGGAGTCAGAATGTCTCTTTTGGGACGATGTAAGAGTAGTGAAACAGGTCTCGGGAATTCTTCCACTCCTAAAACAAGTCCCTTACTTTCTTCCGATTATCTTCCGCTTCTGCTCTGGGTCAACTACACCAATTAATTGATCCAGAAAGCGCTGGCTTGCATCCACCACTGTCAGTTGTATACCAAGTGATTCTGTAAGCGTTTTTTGTACTTCCTCCACTTCGTTATGTCGTAGGAGCCCGTTGTTCACCTTTGAGGGAGCCTTGTCAGCGTGCAGCATTGGTATTTCCACTCAATTCACATACTAAAACCGCATGAAACCTATCGCCAATTGCTTCATGTGTGATCTTTGCAGCCACAGTGGAATCAACTCCCCCAGATACAGCTCCTGGCACATATCAGCACTGTGAAGTCCTTGCATATGTCGTGGAGACGTACCGATGACTTGGCCCTTTTTCCCAACCAAATCCCGTATCCTTGCGATCTCCTTTCCCACAAACTCATCCATCGTCCAATGCTGTCTGGCCTCGCATATGTTCACGGCAAAGTTCCTGAGTAGCTCCGTCCCTCGAGGAGTGTGGGTGACCTCTGGGTGGAACTGTATACCGAAATAGGGCTTTGTCTCGTGTGCTATACCGGCAAACGGGGCATTAAATGTTGTGGCAATCGTCAAGAACGATTGGGGGAGATGTGAGAGCTTGTCGCCTTTAAATTTATGAGCTGAGATGAGTGGCAGGATCCCCGGAGTCTGACTTGCCGTGACTCATCCAAACCTCTAGCTCGCTTCCGAGCCCTGAAAACAGGCGATCGACATGGACTGCTACTCCTTCATGCTTCCTGACATCAAGCTTTGCATGTCCGTACTCACGCTTCTCTCCTGCCACAACATTCCCTGCGAAATGCCAGGCGATTGCTTGAAGGCCGTAGCAGATGCCGAGGATCGGAACGTCGAGTTCGAAAACAGCTGGATCAACGGTTGGAGCACCTTTTTCATAGATCGCATACGGTCCACCAGAGAGGATGATTCCTGTTGCCCTTAAGTTCAAAGCGAGTACAGAATATTGTGAGGGATTAGACCCACCCTTTGGTTTCCACGAGAGTTCGAGTACCTTGGCCGTGCAGGGCAGTAATTCAGAATAGACATTGAGTTCGCGCAGTCGTCGGGTAATCAAATGGGAGTATCTAAGCAGTTACAATCACATGTCAGTAACTGCCGCCGTTTTTGAAGATTGCTACCGGTAACAACTATGGTAAGGCAGGAGAGTTTCAGATTGGTAGCGTACTGGCTACCAAAGTCCTATGAAGGTTTCGGGATCAGTATCGCTTCTTCAAGATAAAACCCTAAGCAATGAGATAGGTCAAAGGGGCATCCAAAGCCTCTTGCTCCCAAGACATATTTTGAGACTTGAAAAGAGGTCTTCAGTAGGGAATAATTCTCTCTGATACATACAAGCACCAGAATGGTATCGAATGTTTTGTTTGGAGGCTCGGTCTCAGTCTTCCCGTTGATTGCCATGGCTTGTAGCCTACGACCGGACAAATTGGCAGGGAAGCAAGCTGGTGGTCGGCAGAGAAAGAGAAGTCTTGTGAATATGTTTGTAGTTGGAAGAACGGATGGACTAATATTTTTCACCAAGCTACACTAAGGTATGCTGTATAAGAATCACTTCTTGTTGCACTTCCCCTAATGTAAGGTCTCTGCTCGTTTTTGACTCAGAGTGGGACATGTTTCCACAAATTCAAATTTGATAATTCGCGAGAATTCAATGGTCCAAATCCTTATCGATTACTCGTAGTACGGCGGACGACGGCTGACACTACGACAAAACCAAAAAAAATCTCTTTTGTTTTTTTCTTCGCGATTTCTAGTAACTCTCTTCAAGATATTCTTTTTAGAATATTCTCAACTCTTCGAGAGGTACTTTTTGAGGCACTCTTTAGGGGCTACTCTCCGGGGTACTCTCCGGGATACTCTTCGGGATACTCTTCGGGGTACTCTCCGGGGTACTCTCCGGGGATTTCTCGAGGTACTCTTCGAGGTGCTCTCCAGGGTACTCTCTCGGGTACTCTTCCGGGTACTCTTCCGGGTACTCTTCCGGGTACTCTTCCGGGTACTTACGTTTTATGAAGTTCTTCGCAAAAAAAAAAAAAAAAAAAAAAGTTTACGGGACTTTCCGCGGAACTTCCCGTGAAGTCTTTTTTTTTTTTTTTTTTTTTTCCGAGTGATTTCTCGAGTAAATCTATAAGAAAACCCTTGAGTAACCCTCTAAGTACTCTCTAAAATACCCTCCTCGAGTACCTCCGAAAGTATATCCTTAAATAATCTCTTAAATCCTCCTCGAATACCCCATAAAGAATCCGTGATTGTGCTCCCAGTAAGCGTGTTTCTTGTTAAGATGAAGGGAGATCTTAATGAATAAAAGGGATGCTGCGATCAGACGGGCTGTAGGTCTTGACCATCTTTAGCTTCATCCCACAGGGATCGACGTGACGCAGCTACTTATTTCGCTGACCATGTGTCTCGCTGATAGTCTCGCCCTTGTATAAACGACACCACCAATAGGATAACCGAGTGCCTTGGGCAGTCAGCGACTTGTCGGGCTTATTGCATACCCAGAAATTATCAACCAGAGGCCAATACGCGTCAAACTGCTCAGGCGTCCATTTGATGACTGTTTTCAGCGAAAAACAGCCTCACGAGTCGCCGGAGTGTCCACAGGCAACTTCAGTATTGTTGACGCGACCTCCGAGGGTATCACAGGCGCGAGTTTGCTGCGTTTGGTCCCCTTTCGCGGCTCTTTCTGCTCATTAAGGCTGACAGAGGCCTTCCGCTTGATAGGGGGGTGGTAGGAGGTAGGGAGGGTGTTGAATGGTGGCGACGGCGATCTAGACGCGTTAGAGTACGTGCCGCGACTCCACTCAGCATCACTGGGGTCACTCTTATCCTTCTCCTGCAGCAGGGCCATATCGTCTTCCGAGAGAACCTCTGGCAGAGCCGGATCAATACCTTCAGGGTTGCTACCGTACCAATCCAGCTTCTCCTGAGTATCCTCGAAGCCCCCGTATTGCGGGGGCTGGCGAACGACGCGTTCTTGAGAGGTTATGGTGGGCGGGGCGGAGTTGTAGATAGCTTCAAAAAATTGGTGGGCGACAGCGAGGTATGGAGAAGAAGAGTGTAACAGGTAAGGAGGGCTGCCA